GCTGCCGTGGTGGTTTCATCGAGGTGGTATGCAGAGGCATCGGCCAGTTTCCAGGCTGCACTTCCTGCTGGAAAGGTGCCTCTGGACTATACCAAGGTACAACTATTGTAAGTCAGAAGAATCTTCAGAGCCTCACAAAGCTGTCTATAAATTACTGCGTGGCCCAGAAAAGTCAAATTTTTAATGCTACAGCCAATTTTCCTTCAAACATTCACCCACCAAACAGTGGTTCAGCATAAGACGGTTCTACACATAAATGGAGAGAGTTATCGTGGATTATTGCAGAGTTGCTAAAAAGCAAGAAAGGAGTTTCAGCACAGTCAAAATCTGTAGCCCCAAACGAAGCCCAATCTAAGAGTTTCCCAGTCACTAAACTCTGATGTTCCAACACACTGCACAGCCATTGATTGAGCTGTGTTCCTGCACTTGCTCATGGCCCTAAATTTCTATCGTTGGGTCTGATCCATGGAGATCAAAGATCTAGTAATCCAGAGAAGGCACTACCTTCTTCCAGCTTTCCATCTCTTTCTGCACTACTACTATGGCATCTTATAAAAACACTTTCTATACACAGTGATCACAATGAGCGGGGTTGAACTAAAGTAGGTGTCAAAACTACAAATTCCAGACCCTGAGTTTCCACTGGCGACTTGGAAACTCTCATAAAGTCTGTGTTTGATTTGGATGGTTCAGAGACACCAAATCCAGGCTGGTTTGTGGGACTTTCCCCCCATTTTCCAGACCTCCCAGCAATGGTAATTGCTCTCACTGCTTCACAGCTTCCACACTTTCAGAATCAAAGCCAGTAAAGAGCACCTTCATAAAAACAAAGTAGAAGGAAAACAGCTGCTGCCCTTGATGAGGCAGTATCTACAGTTTCAACTGCCGGGCCTCCTTCCTCCCCTTCTGCTCAGGTAACTACTACCTCCTAGGGAAAACCATCTGGAAGACACCTCATTTTTGCAAGGAGCCACAGAAGATTTTTTTTTTTTCCCTTCCTAAGATAATTTCTGATGGAAGCAAAGAAGTAAGAAGAAATTCTTAACTGTGAAAAAAAGAAGTAATTAAAATGCATCACTGACAAAGAATCGCTCACGTCAAGTTTACAAAATAAGTTTCTACTGAATTACAGGGGATTCCATATTTGCTGAGGAGTTCTAGGTCTTCTACAGAACAGGTGGTTTCCAGGGCAATATATAATGTAGCCCAATCACCTGGAAAACACCGGCCACACCACTGCAATCAGTAACTCCATATTGAGCACATAGTTTTTAACCAAAGCGAGCTCTTTGTCTTACCTCTACAGGGCTTTTTGCCACTGTTCCAGCATAGTTTAAGTATTTCCCATTTCCATTTTGTACCTTTTATTTCCTTTGATTGCACAATTTTGTTGTTGAGTTAAAAAAAACATGTCTTATGGTGACCAGTTATTTTATCATAGAGAAATTATACAACCATAACCTCTTCTCACCGCATTTTCCATTAGGGGCTCTCCAAAGCTTTCCAAGTGTCTCTAGTAACACTGTGTTTTACACAAGAGACTTGGCCACCAAGAGAAGAAATACCATAGCCAAACTAAATCAGCAAAAAAAGAAGTGGCAGAAGAGAGCAAGTGTTGTTTACACCATTATTTTGCAAATAGCAGGTATCTCCCTCTTGCTTCTAGAGGATATTGGGTAAGTGTGCTGGTTTTGGCTGGGATAGAGTTAATTTTTTGGCTGGGATAGAGTTAATTTTCTTCATAGTAGCTAGTATGGGACTATGGTTTGGATTTGTGCTGGAAACAGTGTTGGTAACACAGGGATGTTTTCGTTATTGCTGAGCAGTGCTTACACAGAGTCAAGGCCTTTTCTGCTTCTCACCCCACCCCACCAGCGAGTAGGCTGGGGGTGCACAAGGAGTTGGGAGGGGACTCAGCTGGGACAGCTGACCCCAACTGACCAAAGGAATATTCCACACCACATGATGTCATGCTCGGCGTATAAAGCTGGGGGAAGAAGAAGGAAGAGGGGGACGTTCGGAGTGATGGCATTTGTCTTCCCAAGTAACCATTACGCATGAGGGAGCCCTGCTTTCCTGGAGATGGCTGAACACCTGCCTGCCGATGGGAAGTAGTGAATGAATTCCTTGTTCTGTTTTGCTTGTGTGCATGGCTTTTGCTTTACCTATTAAACTGTCTTTATCTCAACCCATGAGTTTTCTCACTTTTACTCTTCCAATTCTCTCCCCCATCCCACCGCGGCGGGAGTGAGTGAGCAGCTGTGTGGTGCTTAGTTGCCAGCTGGGGTGAAACCACAACCGCAAGACAGAGCAAGGTCTTGTATGCCTCATCCCTGAATTTATGGATAACAAAATATTTATAAAACTATTTCTAAAAGTGAAATCTTTATGTTTGGTCGTCCTGGACGTTTAGTCATTTGATGACTGCAGTGCTGCACCAGTATCTTCTGAGTCTAACATTACTCCCCGTCTTATGTCAGCACATTAAGAAGTATTACCAAATGTTCCTTTGACCAGTGTAGGATCACAAGTGCCAGGGTGTACCCTAAAATGTGCTCTGACCTGGAAACTCTAACTCATGCCCCTAAAGTTATCTCCATCCCAGCTAGACCCATATAAACACATTGATTTGATTACCATAATTCTTTATTTCCTGAATCACTTGCTAAGCTTATTGGCAAATTCTTGCTTATATCATGCTCAGTAGCCAGATTTCTGATCGCATAGCCTGTTATCCCATGACTGGCACTTCACACTGACTTCCAGGGATGCTTCACAGTGATATTCAAGGACCTGCGATCCTTGTGACCATGGGCTGGGTTCTCCTTTGCTGGTTTAATACTTCCACCTGTGCTTACTATGGCAGTGAAGACACAGTGAGTACTTCCTTCACTGTTTAAAAATCTTAGGTGAAATTCTCAAAATGATCCATAACAAGTCTCAAAACCTACAGAGCTGCCACAAAGCTAGCTTTTCAAAGGGCATTTAGGCTTGGCAGCAGAATGAAGCCTAGTCCGATGCACACAACTCAATTAAGCACCTACACTCGCTCTAGAGTACCTGAAGAGAGCTAGGCATTTAGCGTAGGTTACAGAAGCCAGAGTGCTAAGGTGGTCACTATTAAGTAAAAAAGAAATGCTGAAAGGAGGCATGCCAGAAATGTACCCCTCTAGGAACAGCTCCCAGAGCTGACTCATCAGGGCACACATTCTACCTCTCTATCTACCTATCTAGAGAAATAGGTGAACACATGCACACTGAAAAATTTAAATTAATGATCCCACTAGTTTTTACGAGCCCTCGTCTGGGCAACAGGCCAGTATGGTTTCAGGGGGCTGTGGTCAACAGGGTTTCAGGGGTCTCCTCTCCCCTTCTCTAGCTCCCTTCCATTTCCCAGTGTTGAGCCCCCTGGAGAAATGCAGAGCTCATTCCACAGTGCAGAGAGCAGCACAAAGTGGCTCTGCCATGCGGAGACCCATTTCGCCTATGCTGAGACCCATCCCACATGCAGGCTCTGCAGATTTTTAGATGATGGCAAGATAGCTGAAATCCAGAAGTCTTGGATGTTCAAGTGTGCACAATCTTGATGATGTAGCTTGGATACATGATGGTATGTTCTCCCCTACTCAGTGGTTCTGACTACCACCTCAGGATGCATTAGGCCAAAAAGATTAAGAATGCTTAACTGCTCAAAAACTTACCAGGAAGAGGGAGGCCTACAGAGGAACATATTCATCAAACTGGACCCCAAGACCTTCTCCCAGTGGTGGTAGCAGGTAGGAAAGGAATGCAGCTTCAAATTTCCTGAAATTGTGCTCTAAACATTTAGCCACTGGAGAAAAGCTGGAGAGGAACTAGCACTGCCACCTCTTCTGTCAAGCCTCCTTCATGTCTAATCTTCCTATTTTCTATCTTGCTTGTACACCACAGCTTTCTCTTATAACTAAATTAGCTCCTACCAGCCTTTTGCAGGTAGGTAATGAGCAACCTCTGGCCAAACTAGAAGATTACTAAAAGCAATGTGCCCAGGTTGATGAAGGTGTAGCCTTAAGCTAATACAACCTTGTTGCTAAGAAAGGGCTCAGCAGCGTTGTAATACAACCACTTTGGTGATCTCAGAACAACAGCAAATTTGCGTCGGACTGCTGTGTACTAACATATGGCAGTACACCTGCCTTACCTCATGGTTGTACGGGCTACCTATTGATCTTATACAGACTGGTTTAGACTTTCAGGTTATAAAGTGTCCAAAAGGTAAGTTTCAAGAATTTTATATCTATAGCCTTTGGTAGCCCTAGCTCCTACATCCCACTGAAGGTCAATGGGTCTTAAGTGTTTAAATTACTCAGGCATCTTGAAAATTTGGTAACACCTTTTCTTCTGGTATTCTTAGCAATGTAATACATGGGATTCCTGCTCTCAGAGACTGTCTTCCAAGTCCATTATGAACCTCCTGTTTGCAATCAAACATTTGGTTAGCAGAGATTGCAAATTCCGTCAGAAGTGCTATCCAGAACCTCTGATGAATGATTGCGTTGCATAGTGTATGTAGGAAGCAGTCCTAGGTGGCAGATACATGTTCTAACCTACATTTATGTTCCTGGGGGAACCTGCCAAAAAAACACGTCATCTGTGATCAACAACTGAATTCCACCCATTTTAAAGACAAATTTCTCAGGCAAACCTCTTGTCCTGCATTCCAAATGCAGTTTCCAGATACCTAAAATTTGCTTAGCCCTGGCTTCCT